AACAAACAGAAAAATTAGAGAGTGTCTTGTCATACCCTTATACTGTCACCTTAAAGTTACAAGCTGAAGATTTGACACCTGGAAATTTTTTCTTACAGTGGAAAACATTGATGCATCAGCTCGACAAAACTGGAGGAATTGTTGCTAATGCGATTTTATCTTCAATGAGAAAAAGAGAGATTCAGTTGTTAGACAATAAAATCTTGTTAGCCGCTATTTACGTTGATCCAATGAATCGAATTTTACTAAATGACAATCAAATTGCCTCAGGGAAAGAAAAGCTTCGTGAAATTGCTATTCGCTTGAAAAAGTTGCCGTTACCTTACATTTATAAATCAAAAGATGAAAATAAAAATAATGAATGTAATGACAACTCGGAATCATCATCTCCAAAAAAAGAGCTTGATTTCGAAGCATATTTGGATAGTTTAGAACGTCTCAAAGTGAAGCGAAGACGTTTAACGAATCAAGAAACTAACCCGGCAGAAATTGAAAAAATAAAATTTGAACAAAATTTTTTAAATGGGCTAATTGAAATAGAAAAGTATGACCGTTTATCAAAATTGAACGTAGAAGAAGCTATTTCAATTTATCCAGAAATTATTCGCGATGCAGCTAGATCTGTCACAGCAATGCCCCCAACACAAGTCAGTGTGGAAAGATTATTTTCAGCTTTGAAAATAATTAAAGCTGATTTAAGGGCATCTATGAAAGAAGATTTAATTGAAGCTATTTTGTTTCTTAGAACCATTTTATAAAATTCAAAATTATAAATGTAATTTAGTTTTTTTTATTTAAGTGAAAATATAAAATAAATTTTCTTATTAATTTTTAAAAATGTTTTGTATTTTGTTATAATTCATTTATTTTAAATACAAAATGCAGCAATTTAATTTATTAAATATGTAGTTTTCATTGTAGTATTTGTGTTTAGTATCAATAGTTAAATTATTTTTACCCAATTAAACTTGAATATTTTTAAATCGTTCTTTTATTATTTCTGCTCTAAATAAATATTCTATTTTTCTGAATGAGCCAGACTAAGTGATCAAAGTATATATTTTTCTTTTCTGAACAAGGGGCTAAAATAACTAGATCGCACACTTTTTATTTGGACTAACTTTTCTGCAAAGGTAAAATTGAAGTGCATATGCTGTAGAATAAAAATATGTAAATGTAGAATTTTATTGCTCCCTTTCTCCTCTTATTAAATATTTGTTAGAAATAATTTTTTATACAAATAAATATTAATGTAAGTTAAATATTAAAAATGCTAACTATAAAAGTATTTGGGTAAATACCCGGGGCTCCTTTCACAGTTTAAAGAAGGGACCTCCCTATGAGCGTTTCTGCTCCCATATAATGACTTTGTATTTAATTTTGCCGGAGTCGGGAGTCGGAGTCGGCGTACTAAAATTATCCGGAGTCGGAGTCGGGTGTTTTTTTACCGACTCCGCAGCCCTGATTATAACTATCACCTTTTCAAACTACTGGAGCAATCAAATAAAAACAAAACCTTTAAATACCAGTAAATACAGAACTTTAACAAAATCTCCAAACATTTTTGGCCTTCACCAAAGCCTGCCTTAGGTTTTTTAACGAAACATAATTCCAAAATGGAATGTTAGAATGATAATATTTGAAAACTCATTTTTAAACTTTCGATATAACATAAGCCAAATTCATATGGTAGATAGACTAAAAATTGTAAATGTATGACCATGTCACACACACACATTTACTATCATCATATTCATCACATATACATTTTTAAGATGTATTTGAGATGAATTAATACAGGTTAACTTTGCTCAAATTTTTTATAAAGGTACCTCCACACATGCAATACTGTATTGTAGTCTTTAAAGTTAATACACTTGCTGGTCAGGCTGGCTTTATATATTTCCAAAACCTCCAGGCTACAAATTGGTCTGTTTGGCCTTCCTAATTAACTTGGTGTTCTAGAAGTCTGCATGTACATCCAGGTCGCTAGCATATGTGGACAAGGCAATGATATGCCTGTTCATAAGGTCATATTGATGATCACATATCCTATTTCGTATTGATCATTTAGTTGAGCCAATATACACTAATTCCCTTCAGAATCTATCATCCCTTACCAGTATACAGTACACTCCTTGGGTTCTGCTTTGATCTATCTTATCGTTTGCATTGCATAGCAAGTTACATATTGTACTGGATCTCCTGTACATTATCTGCAGTTCAATTGGCATTTGAACTCCTTATATAAATATATTGCAGGCCAAAATGGTACCGAAATTGCATATACACAAGCCCCACTGACCATATACAAGAGCTGATCTCGCTTAGAGGTTGCATCAAAACAGAATGTCAAGGTAAAGGTTGGACTTGAGAGTGAGGAATGCTGGTCCCCATTGGGTTGTACTGCCAGAGCCCAAGCATATAACTCAATCTGACTTTGTTGTCTAGTCACCTTAATACCACCACAGGTGACTGATCTCTAATGATTAAAATACAGTCACTTAGAACTCTGTAGGGCTATTTGGCAGAGCAGAGGCATTTGCCTTAGAGTTGTAAATATGGTGGAGCTCTATACCTATTCATCTGTAACATTTTACATAACATTATTAGAAGAAAGCTGGCCTCCATAAAGCCCAGATTTTAAACCTTTGTGATAACTGTTTATGGGAATGGGTTATAGACTCCTTAATTTATTTGAAGGATTCAAACAAAATAGAACTTATTAACATCAGTTCTGATCAGTTAAAACATGCCATTTATAATTTTATGTCCCACTTTGGAGCCATTTTTCAGAAAGGTAGAGCAGTGTTCCACAACCTTTTTCTACTTGCGGCACACCCATGACTCAATACAGCACACCAAAATGTTATTCCCCTCAAAAACGTATGATATGATACTATTAATAGAATTACATAATTAAACATCAACGATATGCCGAAAATCCATCGGACTAGTATTAGGCTAATTACCAAATGAATCACGTAACCAATTTGGCTCTAGAGGTAGGCGTTACGCGCTATCTCTTATTAATATTAATAATTATAAATAAATTAATGTTATGTATCGGGTTTAGCAATGTTTGTTTATATTATGCCTTGCCGGGGCTTGCGATGGCTGGTTGAGTGACTTGGTGGACGTGGGCACTGAATGTGTCCCCAGCCAGCGTTGTAATAACTGTCGATGGTTATATAGTTAGCTTATATACGCTGGAAGAGGAGATCGGACTGGAGGTCTGGGTAGCGTAACTGGCAACGCATCTGCGCGGTAAGCAGGAGTTGTGGTTTCGAGTCCTGCTCCGGGCTGATTTTTTCTCCCAGCGGTTCTAAATTATTTAAATTAATTAATTTATTTATAATTATTAATATTAATAATTATAAAT